CCAGTTTTTCCAGCACCATTTGTTAAAGAGGCTGTCTTTCTTCCAGTGAGTATGTTTAGCCCCTTTGTCAAAGATAAGGTGGCTGAGTGTGTTCACTGATAACACAGTGTGTTCACTGATCTTTGTTCACTGAGTGTGTTCAAAGATAAGGTGGCTGAGTGTGTAGGGGCTTCAGCATCTTCTAATCTATTCCATTGATAATAGGAAGTATTTCTAACACACCATTACTCTAATGTCAAATCATAGAGAGAAGAATAAAATCAAAAAGCTGATAGGAGGGCAAATTTGAGCAGTAACTCAGAACTGACATGATAAATTAACTTGAAAACATTTCCCAGGGTTAGGGCAGTGGATGTTTTGGTATTTAACATTTCATCCATTTCCCCTAGTCTCAGAATTGCCATTGACAACTCATTATTTCAAATGTTCTTCTTGGCCTACTGAAGATCATTGCTTCTCAGGGGTTCTCCTCGGGTTTTTAGACCTTATATTTTAAAGAAAAGTCACTAGCACAAAGTGAAGCATCCTGATTCACATTAATCACTGAAAGCATTTTAACTACTACTGTGTTTCCACTTTAGCTTTGAAAATGTGGGGCAACAATATTTTTTTTTTCAGGAGACAAGTGCGGTGGCACATGCCTGTAATCCCAGTGCTGGGGAGGCTGAAAACAGGAGGATCATTATGAATCCAAGCAGCATAGGTGAGACCCTGTACCACATACATTAAAAAATTTTAAAAATTCAGGAAAATTACTAAGAAAAAATGTTATTATTCTAATTACTTAGAATTGAGAAAACTCTCCTGACTAGAAGTCTATCCTTGAGAGTTCTTAAGATTATCCTGAGACCACAGTCATTAAGAAAAATTTTAAAATTATCTCTGCATCTGCACTTCTCAGCATATAGCAAATTATTAGAAAGAACAATAAATTCTTGGAAAATAGAATCAATTTTCTGTTACTAGGGCATGGTAGGTACCTGGTACCATTTGTTCAATAAGTGAAAAATGGAAATATAGTTCATTTGACTCTCACTAATGTTTGCATTATATAATTTTAAAAGTAATATAGTCTGGTTTGTATGGCATAGGTATTTTAGCCTTTGGTTGTTTTTTCCAGATAAATATCATAGAAATTTTCCTATCCAGTTTTCTAGATGCTGAAGAACTATATACTAACTTTAATAAGAATTTTAGAAAAATAATCAGCTAGGGCTGGTGAGATGACTCAGTGGTCTAAAGCACCTACTTAAAACGAGCTAAGCAAAAGCACAGGGACCGCAGTTCAATCCCCAACACCACATGCCAGCCGGCCCTGCCCCCTGGTGGGCTGGACTGGCCACACACACACAAAATAAATAAATAAATAAATAAATAAATAAATAAATATTAAAAAAAGAAAGAAAGAAAAATAATCAGCTAAATTTATCTCAAAGAAAGTCAATTCTGAATTATTTAGAAGTGTTATGATTATAAAATACTCTTCCTGCATCAGTATTAACGTTTCCATATAGATTATGAATGTAGAATACTCACCAGCCATATTAATTTCTTGGTCATGACTGGTCAAATTAGCTGTTTGATTTTTTTGTTCATCTGATTTGAGTCCATGGGAAGATGTTGAAACTTTCCCTCTTTGCTTCCGTGGTTCATTTGGATTTTTGGGTAGGAAAAAGAATGGTATGGAAGAAATAATGCAAAGGAATCCAGACACAAGGAAGTTGAGCCACCAAGCACCAACCCAGCGAGCATCCTGGGGAATTATTCTGATGCTGCCTAGCATAAATAATTAGAAGACAGTCAAAAATCATTCTTAAAAAAAAAAGTTGGGCAAAAAAAAGTTGTTTGTATCCATAGTAGAACAAAGTATACTGTAGTGCCTATTGTAAAGTATTATTTAATTCTTTTCATACTTTGTTCCCATAGAAATTAGAACAGCCTAGCATCCAATGACATTTAACAATTGCTATGGTGCTGGAATCAGTCCTAATGCTGTTGTCATATCACGGACTTGTGTATGTAAATGCCATGGCTTTTCTGACAAACATCATTGAAGAACTGCCTACAGTGGATATTTAAACTTGAAAGCAATTTTAAAACCATTATAAGTATATGAATTCTCATTGTTATCTGAAAACATCTATTGATACCACCTTCTCAGGTCAAGAAACTGCAGCAATAAAATGTAAAGCAGTTTGTAGGAAATCCTCACGGCCACTCTAAGGGCTTCTCACCACGCCAGAAACCTTCATTTACAACTCTGTTGTTGGCACAAAGAATAAAACTGGTGAAAAATATGCACAATGAAAGCACGAGTTAAAAGGGAACTTAGAAAAGTTAGACACTAAATGTAAACTATCTCATTCCATAATCTTTATGTTTCAGTTTTCTTTAAATCCTACAGAAGAGTGATTCATTAATACTGTACATCAAGTGTAAAAGAGTTGTTTCAGTAAGTATAAAGTAGTCCAAGTATTATGACAGAATTCATGAGACAACAGCAGGATGGCAGATTAGGAAGCCATAAACTATCTATCCACCAACAAATAAAATGACTATATAACAATACACAGTCAATGGTCAATACATAGTTCTTGCTTCTGGGCTTATGATGAAGCTGAACTTCATGACAAAACAATGTAATGAAGTAAAGCTCAATACCTTATGGTGGATAGGAAGAAGAGAACCAGAGAAATGGAGTCTGTCAATCGGATGTAGTCCCCCAGGTCAAACCCGTAGGACCCAGTGTATTCAATAGGGCTCCGTCTCCTGTATTCCATCACTTCCCAATAATGCCATCAGATTATGAACCCATCAGTGGAATGCCTCACTAATGAAGTTAGAGCATGCATGATCTAATCATGTTCTAAAATTTCCACCATTGAACACATGAGCCTTTTTCAGGGACATGTCAGTTCCAAATGATTAGATTGCATAAACATTCAGTATCTTTTTTGGCTGAAATCTTGAAGGATGAAAAGGAGTGGAATGATGCACCAAAAGCACCAAAAGAAAAATTCTATCAACTAAGAATTCTATAACCCCTAAAACAGTCAACTGAAAATAAAGAGACAAAAACTTTCCCAAACAAAACCATAGGAATTTTAAATAATAATCAAAGTAAGGTATGAATTTTCATAAAGAGTTGGATTACATGGAACAAAGCGGTGTTAAAATTGTGATCCTGGATTTCAACTTGTCCTGTCTTATGTGTTTTCAGTCATCTAAGAAGTAAAGAAATGAGCATGTACTGAAAATATCAGTTTAAGTTATTGTTTAAGACCCAGATCATGGGCCCGGCATGTGAGTGAGATGAACTGGGGCCTGCCAGATCCTGAATAGACCCAGAGTACAGGTCCGGTGTGTGAATGAGACCACCTGAGGCCCACTGGATCCTCATTGGACCCAGAGTGCAGGCCCAGTGTGGAACCCTTCAGCTGCTCTCCCTGCAAAGAGGCTAGAGGCAAGACCCACCCAGCTGATTCAGGAGCAGAACATCTTGCCAGAGTGACACAAAGGATTCAACTCTAATGGCTGCAGCAGAAAGAAGTGGAACACAGCAGCCAGATCCAAGCAACACCCACCTGGAGGAATCTGAACTTTGCAGATCCGGACCTGGTGCTAAGGTAATAACTCTATCTAATCTCTACACCAAAGCTCAGAAGACAGTGGTATACAAAATGGCAAAGAGAAGGAACAAAATGCAATCTCAGGCCCCGAATCCACCCAGTACAATTGCAGAAGACACTAGCATTGAGGAAACTGGAAATCACACACCAGATATCTCTGAAATAATAGCGTTGACAGTAAAGAAACAACTGCAGAAAGGTATAAAAGAAATCAAATCAAAAATAATTTCTGAACTAAAAAATTTAGTGATAACTATAATCAAAGAAGTACTAAGTGCTTCTAAAGAATACAATGATAAAAAACATAGAGCAGAATATAAAAATGATGGAACCCCTGAATAAGCAATTTAGGAAAGAAATAGAATGTATGAAACAAGTTCAAAGTGATATACAGGAAATTAAAACCTCAATCACAAGCTGGCAAAATCGTTTGAGTGAAAGTGAAAATAGACTTTCTGACCTTAGAGACACCATTGCAGCTAGGGAAAAAGTAAGAAAAACTCTTAAAAACAACTAGGAAGCAGGAAAAAATAACTGAATACTTGCAAGACAATGCAAAGATGAACAATGTAAGACTAATAGGCATCAATGAAAAGAAAGGAGTCAATACAAATGATATAAAAAGAATATGGGCAGAAGTAATAGCAGAAAACTTCCCAAATATGGGGCAACAATCTGATATTCAGTAACCAAAGCATTTAGAACTCCAAATAACATCAATCCAATTAAAACCACACCCAGATATATACTAATCAAGATTCCAGAAATTCAGCATAGGAACAGTATACTAAAAGCCTCTAAAGAAAAGAAGCAGATCACATTTAAAGGGAAACCCATCAGAATAACAGCAGATTTCCCTTCACAAACCATCAAGTCAAGAAGAGAATGGAGCAAAGTACTTCAAATCTTGCAAGAAAACAAATTCCAACCCAGACTGATATATCCTGCAAAACTCTCTTTCAAGTATGATGGAGAAGTGAAATACTTCCATGGCAAAGAACAACTAAAGAATTTCATGATGACAAAGCCAAGCCTACACAGACTACTAAATGATGTTCTAGAGAGGGAGCAAATTGATCACAGCCCCATGAATGAGAATGAAAAGAACCCACCAAATAGGGCAAACAATTAAACACAGGAGAATAAGAGGTTTACAATAGTAGTCTTTTAGTTATTCTTTTGTGTTCAGCAGGAAAATATTTCCATCAGCACACTCTACAAATGAACTTCTCTTCCACCCTATGGGTCATGATTCCACATGAGTCTACAGGGTGGATTTCAAAGAAATAGCTGTAGCTCAGACCCACAAGTGATGCCTAGCCACCAGTAACTGTCATGGTCAGTATGCATGTCCACAACACACTAGAACTTTGTGCGATATCCTATCCTCAAACTGTTAGAAGTGCTGGTCATTTATTTGCCATTCCAGTATTTATCTTATGTTTTACTCTTAGTACTTCTTTGCTATCATGAAAACCTTTTCTTAGTTCAATTGTTTTGAAACATTTAATTTTTAAATAATTAGTATTTAATTTTCTGAATATTGCTTAATCTTAATTTTTGTTCTAAGATTTATATCTTTGACCTACAATTTATGTAAAAGACATCATATGATATCTTCTCCTAGTATTAGAAACTTTAAAAAGTATATTTCCATTTTCTCTTGACTTTATATTACTTCTTCCCTGTTTTTTATACACACATACACATATAAATATATGAAAAAATACTTGTATAACCCAACATAAGATTGGTACTGTTTCATAGAAATCTACAATGACCTTTAAATAAGGGTTCATCTAATATATTTTTTTATATGTCCTGCATAACTATCATAGTGAGATCTCTTTATTGTTCATCCAGGAGCATACTGCAACTTCTCTTGCCTTTTGAATTATGCTCTTTGTTTTTTCCTATATGCTACTTCTGGAAGTATTAAAATATTTCAAATTTATATAACTAGAAAATCTTACTTTTAGTTTTCAAGGGTATGTTTGCTAAGTATGAAATTCAAGGAGGACAGATCTTTTCTTTCGGTCCTTTAATTAGTCTCATTTCTTACACACTTGGTCCTTTTTTTTTCTTTCTAATGTGGAATAAGGTGTTATTTAATTTTGTTCTTCCACAGCTAATATTTTTATGTATATGTTTTAATGATTTTCTTCTTTATAATAAGTTTTTGGACAATTTCATTTTTGTGTATCTTGGTATGATTTTATTTTATTTTCTTGTGCAAAAGGTTCATTTTTCTTGGGAATGAGGTATTATAAGTTGAACTAAATTCAGAAATTTTAAATCTTTAAATATTTATTGCCTACTTCTTTCTACTTTGAGAATTGTAATTATATGAATATAAGTTTCTTGGTTTAGACACAGTTAACTATTATGACTGATCTGTAAATTCTTTCTTCATTTTTATTTTGGACAATTTTTATTGTTATATTCATTTATGTTTGAAAATAATTTATTTTCAATTTGCAACCTATTAAAAAATTAAAATAAAAAATAAAAAACCTTTAAAAAGTTGTTTAAAAAAAAATCCATTACCAGTAAATTAGGTACAAACTGACTGCATTTCATGAGTGCAGAAGTTAGATTTTATTCTAGTTGAGAGGCAAATAGGAGGTGATGGAAGGGAAATCTTTAATTTTTAAATTATTTTTTCAAGGTTCTTGTGTCTTAAGAGAAAGAGAAAAATAGAAAATCATTCAGGAAGCTGTTTGTGGGAATAAAAAGTCATATTATCATTTTATTTGTATCTAAAATGTTTATAAAGGTCATTCATATTTATTTTAATGTTTTTATATTTGCTAAAATGATTGATTGATTGATTGATTGATATTAGACAGAAAAGAAGGAAGGAAAGAAGGAAGGAAGGAAGGAAGGAAGGAAGGAAGGAAGGAAGGAAGGAAGGACGAAGAACGAAGGAAGGAACGAAAGAAGGAAGGAAAAGTGTGTTTCTTGAGGATCACTTTTAATTTTTTGCTTTAAATCCAATTTGCACTCTCTTTAAAAAAAGAAAAAAGGGCTGGCCTGAGAGTTCAGCAGACTAAAGTGCCTGTTTAGGCAGAGAGCAGGGGCCAGGGTTCGATCGCTGGTATGCTATGCTGGCTCGGGCCCCAGGGTGCACTGGGATGACTGAGCCTGGGCATGGTGGCACGCACCTGTAACGCCAGCACTTGGGAGGCTGAAAACAGGAGGATCCCTATGAGTCCGACCTACATAGTGAGACCCTGTAGCCCCTGTTGCTGTTCCAAATGCAAATCAATCAATCAATCAATCAATCAATAAAAATTTAAAAAATAAAAATGGAAAGTTGAAGATACAGGATGGATCAGGCAGTGTTTTGGGAAATAAATCTTAGGAGAGGCAGGAATAGGGAGTCCGAAACCCACTTGGATGTGTGAACATCAGCTGATGGTGGATAAGTTTTACATTGGGTTGGAAAAAAAAATTATGAAAACAGATGTGGTGCAGGTGTTTTTAGTGGAAGAAGTTCAATTTGAGGAAGATTACACGTCATGACCACTATTCCTTGGATCCTTGAAGGAAAGTACTCTGAGATGGAAGAATGTCATGATGTCACTTATGTGAACATTCCCTCACTGATTTGCTCCACAGCATGTTCTTAAGGTTCCCACATGTGAACGCTCTGTCAGGACCAGAATAAGGGACCTAACGGTGTGCGCCAAAGTGCACAGTGCAGCCCTCACACCACTCCAGCTATCAGCCAGCCCTGCAACCTCACATCAGCTGCAGCAAAGCAAACCCTAAGAACTTTAATACCCAATCTACTAGCAATCAAATTTGGGGATTTTCTTGATTAGATGGTCATATCTAAGGGGAAAAAAAATATATATATATATTATAATTTATATATATATATATATATAAAATCAAGTAACCTAAAACAAGATTGTTAAAATTTCTTGTTACATACTTAGTTGTAACCATGGCATGGTATGGAAGGAGGTGAATTTCATTTCCATTGAGATGATAAACGTACTTTCCCCAACTTGTAAATTTGAAAAAATAGGAAGTAAAGGAATATTGAATGGTAATTTAATTACTATTGAATTATGTTATGTACATAAGAGATTTTATCATGCTCTCTTACCCTGCTTGTACTTACTCAGATCTACAAAGCCAATGTCCACATACATTTTAGAAAACAGAGTTCCCATGGCAAAGGCTAGGAATGGACCAATAACTGATACTGCATTCACGGTACCTGAAATATTATAAGACAAATTTATCATATTTTAAATATTATTATTCTTATCCAATATGTTTTTAGAAGTAGTGTCATACATTTCTCCAAATTACTTTTTCCACTTAAAAGGAATAATAATAGTGATAATAGTAGCACTGCTACTTCAAGAGTTGGCCAGGAAAAGTTCTGATTGAACCTAACATTTCTTTGCATTACCTATATAAAGAGAAGATTGTCCTACATCAGAAAAGTCATCGATGTAAGAAATTCCCAGTGGTGTTACAGGGGCTTCCCCTATTCCACGAAGTATGTTGCCTATTAGGACATAGATCCACATGTGTGACTCAGATTCCTTCTCACAACCTATGTAGACAAGAGAATGTTTTATTTTAAGCAATAATTTAAAAGTAAATTCCTACCATAACTTAACTACTTTAGAGTCCTAATTACTTCAATTTTTTTTTTCTAATTTTAAGTTATTCTTATTCACTTAGTAGAGTTTGTAACACAGAAAAGCACAAAGAAAAAAGAAAACAAGTAAAACTTATCTTGAGATTCCACTGCACAGCAAAAGCCTTGGCTAACGGACCTTGTACATGTTGCTGCACAGAAAACGTATATAATACTCATTATATATATACATGTGTTATAGATTTAAATATCCAGTGAATAATAAAATTTGCTTTTACAGTTAACATTGTACTCTAACAAGCTCACCATGCTGTTCCCCTTATATTGCTTTTATACAAGAATTTTAATAGTTCATAGTACTGTGTTGAATAACAATTTCAACCAATCATACTTTCAAATAGAAAAATGTTCTTAATTTTAAATTCTGTCCAGCGGTGTTGACTTGGTAAGAAGTGAAAATAAATTTTAATGTACAATGCTGATTATTTCCATGAGATTAATCAGTGATATCAGAATAACTATCATTAAGAGTAGAATATGTAAATAAGAAGGAATATTTTTGTTCTTTAATATATATTGACAACCTCTAAAAAGTCACAAATTTATATTCTCCCAATAATACTAAAAATATGAAATATTCTTTCTTCCCTTTAATCTTTTTTCCTTTGCTACCTTTAATCCTATCTAATAGATAGAAACTCCTTAATAATGTTATGCCTAAATATCTTATCATCTGTGCTATAATAAATCAAAAATATTTAATGATATATTAAATGATATAGTAGTTTACAACTTCTCAAAAGGCCCATTTCTTTTTTCTTTTTTATTTATTTTTATTTTTTTATTTTATTTTATTTATTTATTTATTTTTTTGCGGAACCAGGGATTGAACTCAGGCCCTTGTGCTTGCCAGGAAAGCACTTATTCTACTGAGCCATCTCCCCGGCCCCGAAAGGCCCATTTCTATACATAGTTAGACAAGTTCCTCCCCCTTTATTTCAAATGTACATGTTTTTCTCCAAGTTCCTACTTAAATCCCATGTTTCTATCTACTTTTTATAGTTCTTTTTATGGTTTATATTAGGACGATGATGCTGTATGTCTGTAAATGTCAAACATGTCCCTGTTTATCTTCAATCAATATTTCCTAATAAACTTCACAACCAGTTCATAAATACACTTTGTTTTACATTTTATGATACTTTTACAACTACTGTTTTTTGTTTGCTTGTTTGTTTGTTTGTTTGTTTGTTTGTTTGTTTTGGCAGAACCGGGGATTGAGCTCAGGCCCTTGCGCTTGCCAGGGAAGCACTTATTCCACTGAGCCATCTCCCCGGCCCCAACTACTGTTAATTATTACCTTTTCCCACTCTTTCAGATGATGTTTCCATGCGTGTTGAAGTTTCCTCCAATAAGCAAGTAGATAACGAGTTGTCAGACGCATTATCGTGTGCTTCTGCAGAATACCTGTAACTGAACATATCACTGGACTTTTTCCTTGACTGAAACCTACGCTTATGGGTCTAGAAAACCTGAGGAATATTTTCCTTGACTTCTACTTCTTTTTTTCTCCACATTATCCAACTCCAGTATAACTACTATCCAACTTGTGCTTTAGAAAGATAATGGAAAGGGATCCTCTAAGAAAGCTCCACAGGCAGAGTCATTTATTGCTTTGCTGTCAACATAGGACTGATTATATTCTGGTCAAGATACAAAACAGCTGGTCAGTGTAGTGGCAGAAGTACTTGCCTGGCAAGCTCAAGGTTTGGGGTTCAATTCCCAGTATCTCCCCTGCCCCCCAAAATAGCTAGTCAGCTCTTCTTCCTTGGAATTATTTGCAAAGAAGACCACAGTCTAGCGTTCATAATAATTTATAACTTTTAAAAAACTTTAGAGTGATGTTCTTCAATCTATAATATATCCTTATTCATTTACATTTTTACTTACAACCTCATCTGCCATCATGGATGGACACATACACTATGAATATTCAACTCTTCAGAACTTAGGGAAAAGCTCAATATATTTCTACCTGATGAGGGAAAATTTAAGAAGATTAACAGAAACGAGTTAGACTAGGGGCAGATGCTGATACCTAAAAATGTTGAAGTTCCTTGTATCTCCAATGGCAGCCAAACTGTATGCCAGGCACTGTGCACCACTTTAAAACTTGAGATAAACACATAATTTTTGGAATTAGGGAATTTTACATCATGTAAGATCAATGTACATGATAAAATAGACGAGTTTAATACTCAAGGCCCTGAGTTGTCATTAAGCAAAAAGGATGATCAGCTTTGCTCCAAGGTAGGCAGTAAGGTAGACTCAAATTCCCTGTGAGCATGACCCATGAGATGAATGTCAGGGATGGCCAGAAGTTTCATGGGCCAAGAAAGGAGGGAAGGCATTCCAGGCTACAAAAACAGTACATGCGAAACTTTGATATGACTTTGCATCTGAAGCCTGCAAGTCTGTAAATATACAGAGCAGTGAAGATGAAACTAGGCCTAACAATCAGCAGTGGTAACATCACAATGCGAAAAACACTTACGAAAGTCAACTATAGAGGGGCCAACGAGATAGCTCAGCAGACTAAGTGCCTGCTTTGGCAAGCACAGAGACCAGGGTTCAATCTCCGGTCCTGCATGCCACATTGGCCCTGCCTCCAGGTGTGCTGAGTCAGCAAATGACTCTGTGCACAGTGGTGCACACTTGGAATCCCAGTGCTGGGGAGGCTGAAACAGGAGGATCACGATGTCCAAGCAGCACAGAGAAATCGTGCGCCAAATAAATAAATGAAAAAATATATAGAAAAATGTTGTCCCTCCCCATATCCACCTAAGCAAGTTCCCCCTTTCTCCACCTTAGCCCCGCATGGTTTTACACTATAAAAGTCCCTAGAAGAGACAGCTTCCCAGGGAACTACCCGCTCGGGGGCCCCCCTCCTGTCCCTCTCTTAGATAGGAGCTTTCTTTCTCTCAATAAATATATTCTGCTCATAAAAAAAAAAATTGAAGTTAATATTGTGAGCAAAATGTCTATCGTTGGGGTCTAGGAGAGAGCTTGGTGGTCTAAGTGCCTGTCTAACAAGCTCAAGGACCCAACTTCGATCCCCAGTACCACATGCTGTGCTGGCCCCACGCTGATCCAGCCACTGAAACTGTTGCACCCCTGTAATCCCAGCACTGGGGAGGCTGAGACAGAAAGATGCATGGTGAAACCCTGTACCAAATAACTAAATAAAAATTTTTTAATAAATTATTTTTTAAAATGTGTGATTGTTTAATTCAGCAGTAAGTGATTGTCTGGAGCCCACTATTCCTTAATGTTCATTGCTCTCTACCTCAACAGTAATTAAAATTTATTTCTAGATGGAAATATAGCAGACTCAAATGTCTTTTCTATCTACGTGAAAATTGAACTATTGCATGGGTATTGTGAAGTCGGTAGAGGCATTACACATCTGAAAGGTCTCCTAGGCTTCATCTTGTTTGCATTCCTTTCTTTTTCCTCCTCACCTTCCTCCTCATCCTCCTCTTCTTCTTCTTCTTCTTCCCTTCCTAGCTCCTTTGCCTGGGCCAACACCAATCCAAAGGCTGTGAGGCATGATGAAGAGAATAACCATTGGGCCAACCTGGGAATGCTTTCCTCATTGACTGTGAGGTGAAAACTCAGCTTCAATTTTGCATAAGCAGCTTCTACTTTAAGTTCCTTCTCTTGAGAATCTCATTCTAACCCCAGCTACACAGTGACCTTAGGAAAAATGACCTTGCTGGAATGGATGCGGAAAAACCCATGCTTCAGGAAGTGGAGTAGTAAAGTCTTATTAAGTATAATCAGAGTCTTATGTGCAAATATATGAGCTATATTTCTTATACTAAAACTCATAGAATTTATTTCTTATGAAACTGTACCTCTAAATCTATTAAAACCATGTCAAGTAAGACACTTGGTGAATTATTATATATAAAATACACCCAATTCTATTCTTTTTTGTTTTCTGAGATGGTCTCACTTTATGGTGTAGGCTGGCCTTGAACTCATGGTGACCCTTCTGCATCCCTCGTGCTGGGATTATAGGCATGTGCCACCATGCCTGGTTTCTAATATATATATTTGTGTACACATCTTTATATGCTGAACTGTCAATTTAAAAGACACAGAAATGAAACTGTACTACCAATTCACATGATGCTAAGGGCTAAGAGCACAGAGCTTCTTAGTACTTACTATCCCATGAAGAAATGAGGCAAAGCTATCGTAATACTTCCGACTCCCATAATGACACAGCCTATTCCAATTAGCTTCGGTCTGTGTAGTTTGGATCCAAAGTAACTTACAAACACAATCACAAACAAGTTTCCTAGAAAGAGAACAAAATGATATTGACATGAGCCATCCCAGCAAATAATGACTGAGCCCAACTTTGTAATTAATAAAACTAAAATCGCAAATAGAGCACCAATACTGCATCTTTCCTCAAACACTAGGAGCTAGCTTAATTTTGAGGTGAAACTCGCCAGAAGATTAACCAGTCATAGAAAAGGTATACAGTACTACCAATAAGTAGAATACATTTTTATGAAATAGTATGGACATCATCCATGTTATAAATTTGGATTTTTAAAAATTTAGCATAGGTTTTGAATGCTATGCAAATCACTTGATACATTTGGCAATATTAATGAAGCAGAATTTTAGCACAGAATTGGAATTGTCTAGATAGCATTGAAAGGGACAAAAAGGGAGGAAAATCTTCCTGACCTGAGGGTAATACATCCACTCATGCATGTAGTCATGCATTGTAAGCTTTCTAAAAATTCCTATTATGTCCTTGCCAGAAACACAAAAAAAAATGAATGAATTGTTGTTCTTGTCTCTAAGGAAGTTTACATACTTGTGATAAAAATGGATAGTTAGACAGAGGTATCATTAGCCAAAAAAGAGAGAAATCAGAAAATTTTGTGGATTCAGGAAGGGTTTCAGAAGGCTACCTGACATTTATTAGTAAAGTATTTTGTTTAAAAAGACAAGGTAGAGCATTCTGAGAGGAGGGAATCATCCAAAAATTCTTTTCTAGGAGGAGCCTCATGTACAACAATGAACCAATAGAACCCAAATAATTGC